CAAGGCCATGAGAAACCGCGTACAATTCACACACCCCAATATGTTTCCTCAACGCACTAATCGATGGCGCCAGCAACACCATGTCATCGGCATAACTAATATTATTTAAACAAATTCCGTCTACAAAGCAGCCAACATGCGTGCTGCTGAGCTCACCGAGCAGTGCGTTGATGTACAAATTGAACAAATCAGGTGATGTCAATCCCCCCTGCCTAACTCCACACTCCAAGGTATATGGCTCAGAAAATGCGTTAGCCCACCTTACAACATTAGTTTGATTTTGGTACCAATACCTAAAAACATTTGTCAGCTCCACAGGCATGCCTGCGGCACAAAGTTTATCCCAGAGGATGTCATAGGAGACTAAGTCGAAGGCCTTCGACAGGTCCAAGAAGCACGCATAGACCGGCGTCTTCCTGTTAATGTAGTATCCAACAGTATGCTTCAGTGTCGCAATAGCACTTTCAGTTGACAACCCTGATTGAAACCCAAACTGAGAGTCGTGCAATTGCAGGTGTTTTTTTAAATGTACATTGAGCACACTGTCAAATACCTTGGCCACTATAGTTGCGAGAGAGATAGGTCTATAGTTCGACCTGTCCGACACGTCACCCGTCCTGTTCTTAAGTATTGGTACCACAGTCGTTCTCATCAGATCATACGGTAAATATGAGTGTCCCAGACACAAGTTAAATAGTAAAGCAAGGATCCTAGGTACATGGAAGCCTGCACATCTTAAGTGTTCAATGCTGAGACCGTCGTGTCCCGGTGATTTTCCTTTCTTTATATTACGTAAAGCAACACGAATATCACTTGCTTTGATTAAGGTTGGTACCAGTCCACGACAGGACTCAGCATCGATCACAGACCGAGACAGCCCCAAAGGAGAATTCACGGTAAAATGCTGTCTGAAAAGATTAGCAATACCTTGCTCATCTGTCACATCATCAACGCTCACGGGTAAGCTATGAGGTCCGTTTAATCTGTTAGTGGACTTCCAAAAATTACGGAAGTCGGACTTGGAGTGATGTGACGCCAATTTGTCCATCTTTAATTGGTCTTGGTTTTTCTGACACCATTTAAGTCTGCCTTTAAAAACCCGTTTAGCGTGTACCATATCATCATAAATACGACCCGACCTGGGGCAGCCGTACCACTCCCACATAACATATTTGTCTCTAAACTCACCGTGAGCGGTGCTGACATGCTCGTTCCATCCTGCGACACATTTTCTACGCCATTTCCCTTCACAATACACCGAGCTTGCTGCAAAACTCAGTGTGGAAACAAATTGAGTGTACAACTCATTGATTATGCCTTTGTGCCGATTGTTATTACAAAATTCACCACAGCATTTCTGAAGATCTACAGGTAAATCTACGTATTTCAGAGAGTCGTTACATAATTTTGTGTAGTTTTCTACTTGCGCAGGTGTTCTATTACCCCACAATACCCTGTTTGGTTTTCTAGGCAGAAACGTAATCTTACTTTTAATTACATTAAAATTGCAATGAATGAATAATGGAAAGTGATCTGACCACTGTACGTCCTTATACACATAACATTTAGTTATCGTAGACCTGGCTGCTTTAGTAACCAGACAATGGTCCAACCACCTTCTGCCACCGTGCGCATCACTAATATAGGTATAGGTGCCTGAATTAGCCCCTAGTATATTTACATCTGCACAAAACCAATCTGTCTCTGTACAAAAGTTTATTAACTCATTATAAAAAGTTGTTCCGATGTGAGCGTTAAAGTCCCCTAAAATTATAACAGATTCAACGTCATTGTCCGCCACTATAGCATTCAAACAACCTAAGCAATCTGAATACTCCGGTAAATTGTCGTTATTATCAAACGGCATATAAACTGTAATTATTAATACTGGTTTATCACTAAGTGTCACTTTAATCGCGGCTATACGAGGGTTATCGCATGGGACAACAGACACACAGTTAAAAACACTCTTCCTCCATAGTAACGCTAGCCCGCCAAACGGCCTACCTTTAAGCATACCCGTAGAGATGTCCACGGCTGATGTACCCGTACTGCCGAAATTATCATCTATAGATGCCAGAAAAGTCAAGTCATAAGGCAAAAGCCAGGTTTCTTGTATTGCAACAATATCAGCTCTTTTACAGAGCGATCTTATACTATCTACCGATCGCTTAATCGATTTACAATTGAAAGACACTAGGATGGTATCATGCAATTCGTGTGCATCCATTTATTTATTTATGTGTTCTTGTCGCTTCCTCGACCGATTTATTCAGTTCTTTATGTTTGAAATGAATAAAACGTCGGAAAATTATTCCATTAGGCCAAAAACTTTCATCTAAAAATGTTTTTAGTTTATGTCTGGGGACAAACAATTTATAAGCCTTATATAAATTTTCTCTTTTTATTGACATCTTTACTAATTCAACATTCTCCTTTGTTTTCTGAAAGATGTAATCAGTTATGTCCTGGTCACAAGTATCCCTATGCACATTAGTGATGAGAAGTGGAATCTTGTTTGCCGCTGCCTTAAAATTTGCGCTAATACAGTTTTCTCCTTTGCCCTGACGCGAACTCAATCGATTTTGCTTTCTATAAGATTTTTTATTCACCACTTCTACCCATGGTTGATCCTTATTTACATCGCTGCCTCCGTTTTGCACTGTGCCATCCACATCATTGTTTAAGACTGTCGACTGACCGGTAGGCACGTATGAGTCATCGCCGCTTCGCTTTACTACGCTCTGTGATGTCGACTCCGTCACAACAACTGGTTTACCGGTCGCATACGCTTGCAGCGGGGAGGAACTACCCGTTATTTTTCTTAAATTCTCAGTGGCGGATTTACAAACTGGTGTATTTGAACACGGAACTTGTGTTTCAAAATCCAACTGTGAAAAGTCAAAATCCGCAATATGTTGCAAACCCATAGGACCACTGTCAAACTGTAAATTATCTCGAAATGCACCTCTTCTATTTTTGTTTACATTGCAGTCAAAGTTAATTAATGACGCATTTTTCATTGTATCTATTTGTAATCGGACTTCCTCAAGCTGATTTTTTGTAACATAATTATCCTTAATACAATGAAGATCTTTTTTTAAAATCAGAATGTCTTTCAACAAATTTGTAGCGTCTAGGTGATCAAAAGTTATCGGCGGTAGTTTGTTCAAATCTCTTGCTACAAAAATTGGAGTTTGATCTGGATCTGTGTCTTTAAAGAGGTGGATGATGTCATCGATGTCCCTCTGTGACTTTCCTTCTTTTCTCCTGCTCTTCATTTTTTTTAGCGTAGGCAGAGATTCGTAAAGCAATCTTTTAGCAGCTTCAATATCAGTGGCCGAAAAAGCCGTCACACAAATACGTACTAAACTTTCTTCGTCCATAACTTCCAGTTTGTTTTGGACGAAAGAAAGTAGCTCACATATTACAACATTACAACTGTTGCACTTCACTATACTTGACATCGTAAATAAACAATATTATTGCCTTCGTTCTCGCAGCACAAAACGTCCGTGCTAACGCAGCGAACGCGACGCCTAAACTATGTATATATATAACCTATGTATTAAATAAAAAAATAAACAAAATATTGAAGAAATATATGTAAATAAATAAATTCAACTTAACTTTTAATCATTACATTTAATATTGATTTTAAAACAATAAAACTGAAAATAATATTGTTTCCATTGCATCCGTGTTGTGCATTTTAAGATTGATAAATTTGACATAAGAACAATATCACTTTAATGTTAAAATCGCGTTATAGTACGACCTGAGTGAATGAATAAGTCACTAAAAAAATAAAAGTAAAATAAAATAATAAATCAAAAAATAAAAAGTAAAAAAAATTAAAATAAAATAAAAAGTAAAATATCATAGTTTTTACATTATAATAAGCTTACTTCAAGCGCGTCATGGTACGAAAAGTCAATGTTAGGTTAAAGTAATATTGTTTTAAGAGGTTGTGGTAGTCTCTCAGGGTTGTTACAGGCTATAGTCTATTAAGTCTAGTCCTAGATATAAATTGCGTATTGCGTAAAGTATTGCATAGTGTAATAAGACATCTCACTCGCAGGGCAGGGTTGTTGCTGGTTCATTGATCACAATGTTCTTTAATACCCTTTATCAAATGCAATACTTACATAAATGATATTTTTGTATCAGCATCGCGGATTGGTATCACGATTTTGGGAATATGATTATGAAATTGAAATGAAATGTTGAACAATAATGAATTTAAGTCACTCTTGTTCAACCATAAACACAAGTTTATGGTTGAACAATAAATTAAAAATAAAAATAATAAATTAATGTTAAAACCAAGCGAACGCTTCAATTCTGTAATGAATAGCACGTGGGATGATTGTGTGCGGTCGTACACGGCGCGTGGCGGGCATATACAAGCGTAGCATCGCGGCTTGTATATTATTGCTTGTATATATAATTCTATGGAGTTACACTACTTTATTAGATTAATAGACATAGGTATACTTTACTTTTGCAAATTATAGCAACGACGAATGTCTTAATCCAGATTGGAAACCTAATGCGCCTAGTCTAATTTTATTTAGAGGTTTCTTCCAATTAATTACTACAAATAAAAAAAAATTTAAACATGGTTTTTATTAATACTATAGATTTTAAATATGGGAATATTTACATACATTCACAACCATATAAACTAAATTGGAATAAAAATAATAAATGCCTTTCATACAAATATAAATAATGATCAATGTAGTGGATGAAATAAAATGTTTTATAAACTAAAAACCGAACTAAGTAAGTTATTAGGAAAGATATGGAGAGAGAGAGAGATTCAAAAAATATTTGCAAAAAAATGCGAAAAAGTACTATTAGCACCAATACGTCCAGCAAACCTAAAATTCTATTTATTTCTACGTACCTATACAAAATAATAAGTCTACAAAATACAACATAATATGTTTGAAAAAACAAAACTCGTTGCTGTATAAATTAAGTACATTTTTTAGAAAATTTAATATAAAGACTTTATTTAGCTCGTCTTAAAAGTAAAATATGGTTGCTATTGAATTCGTGCACTTTAAATGCACATAAAAGTACATGATTTATACTCGTTTAATACAGTGCAAATAAATTAATCTTTCAATTCAGCCATAGATTTAATTTCCATTTCTGCGTGACGGAATGGAAGCGATTTTTGTAATGAAATTGTACATAGCATAATTATTTTTGTATAGCCTAAAAACTATGTGGCTTCGGGAATTCCCGTGATTGCGTGACCTGTTTTTTGGACTCGTATCTACAAATTGGTGTGTTAAATAATTGACATAAAGTTCTAATGAATAGCATAATTGCTATGATTCTAAACTTCACTTCCATTCCGTTCCGCGGCAATGTAAATTGAGCCTTAGAGTACCTTTATCTGTACATATTAGTTAGATAATTTTATATATTTCATTATATTGCGTAGGTACCTATTTATTTACTTAGTATGTATTTACATAGCGTATTACTCTTTCATGATCAACCTAGCGATAACTATTAATTATTTATATAGTTTTGTGGCTTTATTAAATAAACTACAAAATCAACGGTTACACTGATATATTGCTAAATTATTTACTTTACTATTTAGGATTATTAAAACTAATCAAACTTGAAGCTTTAAATTCGTTGAGCAGAAACCCGGAATAAATACAATTATTCGGTTTTAATCAAAACAAAAAATAATTTAATATTAGGGAACCTAATGGAAGACAAAGAAAGAAATCGAATGCAATTAAATAATAAAATATGCAACGTTTAGATATTTTATTTTTGGTTAAATACCTACGGTTTTTCTAAAGGAGAAATTAGACCTCTTGTAGAGAAAATATATTCCTAAAGCAGGATTCACTTTGCACAGCACGAGACTTGCCGAATCGAGAGTGTATTCGTCCATGTTTGTGTTGTTTCATAAATTCGTAATATCTCCCATTTCTTGTTCCTAAATGTCAAAACATCAAAGGATTCTAGCGTGTTTATGCAACACTATTCATCCACATTCGCTTCAATCAGTCGGCCGTCTATCGTCGAAGTAAGTGCTTGTATATTTTTCTATAGAAAATGCCCATAAATTGGAATTACAATCTTGAAAAGCATTCTAGAAGTTTATCAAAGTCATGATGCAGCACATATCGCTACAGACCGCCAGATAATAATTTCAAGACGTTCATCTTGTAGTGCGTCTACTGTCTCAAGCGAGAATGTAGAAGCTCGATATCGTCTCTGCATAATCTCGCCGTGAATGTGGAGCCAGCTTTTCGTAGATTTTCTAATACTTTGCGATATTTTAAATTTTGATAATTCCAGACAGTGACAATAGACGAATGTGACAATTTAAATATTTTTGATTCTTATTGTGCAGGGTCAAGAGCTTGTCAAGCTTGACACTTAAAATCTAAATTCAACTCTATGCCGTTTACAAAAAAGAACAGAAAAGTACTAAGTGTCGAGTTAGATGTGCTCGTAACTGTACCTTTTTGTAAACCAAAAGATCGCTCAACAAAAATTCGTGAAAGAGTTCGTATAACTCCAAAAATTCATATTAAAATGTCCAAAGTCGCAAATATCTCGCATTCGTTAAGTTCCTAGACAATGTTATATTTATAATTCACTGTGATACGGTTCCGTAGTCACTTTCAATTCGTGTTCATGGAAAGACGCGCAGTCAGCTGGATAGGCGGCCTGAAAACCAAAACAAATTTATATGGGACCACTATTCAGGTAGTTTCAAAAAATCATCACAATATATCAATATAATAAATATCATTTATAAGGTTGCTTGGTGCAGGCTTGAACCGCTTGGCATTTTCAGCCTCATAATGAAAATCACATTAAAAGTCAATGTCCACTTTGTTAACGTTAAAGGAATATAGAAAAACGCAACACACAAAATTAAAAAGCTACTCGCTCATCTTGCAGGATCTTACCTCGCAATTGACATCGCTCTGTATGGCGTTGTACAGATCCCAAAATCCTTTGCCATTCTGGAAGCTCAGAGCAGCGGAAGCCACCAAACTGCTGATCTTTGTTAGACCTGCTTTGATACCGGCTACTCCTGAAATTATAGGTCATCTTTGAATGGTCAATCTATGAACATGACACGATCTGAATTCTTGCTGGTGACTTAAGTTTTATCATTAAACATGACACGTGGCGCACATGTTGCAAAGTCATTTTAACACTTCGTTAACGACCTTTGTGGCCCAAAGGTTAGCAGTATGGGTGCTAGATGAGAACTGAGAAATTGTGTAATTTGCTTGTGGTCTAGGTGTTCCGGGTAGTGAATATCTTTGCTCTTGTATTTTTTTAATTTCGTAATTTCAATCCAGATAATTGGTGTGGTTGTGTGGCACATTATTACTGTTATTGACTAGGAAGCTATGCAACTGTCCTATAAGGTCTCTGAACGCCATTAAAATATTATTATGTAAAATACATCCTATTTTTTATTACTACCTCGTTTTTCTCTCTTAATGTATATTTCTATATCTATATCTTAATATACAATCTTAGTTTGTACAACAAAATGAATTCCCTCACCAAAATTGTTGTTTAAAGTTTATTCATTCTAAAATTGTTATCATTAACACCACCATTTGCTAAAATATGATCGCAGCTTTTAGTTATACTTAGACGCTGTACCAATTGTGTCATTTCGGTGTCAAGCTATCGTGATTATGTTCAATATTAAATACGTTTTTAGTTATTAACTTTTAAAATCATACAGAATTTTACCTGTCTTATTTTGATCAACGCCTTTGTTGACCAAGCATAAAAGATGTTCCTGGCAATGAGGTGCTTCTACGGAATGCTTATACGCTCTATACACTCTCAATACTGGTTCAATAACATCTAAGTTCAGAGTGTCGGTGACTCGATCTGCTATGGCGTTGTAATCATCCCGATTGGTCAGTTTCTGAGATGTTGCTTGGGCCATTTTCATGGTTTGCTGCAAGGTAAATTAATGATATTTAAGCACGTTAGAGTAAGTTGCTAGGATAACCGTTGCCGTGCCCGTTCCAGAAAGTCTGATGTTGCCTCTTGAACAAAGTGTTACTTAAGACACTGTTCAACCTGATCTCTCATAGAAATCCACACATAAACATATCTGACTTTGCTAAACTAAAATAACTGTATAGACATGGGGTCTGAGAACAGTCGGGATACCGAGGTTAATACAATACCTAGAGTAATACAAATATGTTTACAAATATTCTTCATAGAATGATTAAAACAGATGAAAAAAAGAAAATATGTGTTGTTGTATGTAATTATATCGATCGCTTAAAAAACTTAATTTGTATCCTTGGTATAATTAACTCACAAGTGATCATACTACGTTAGAGGTGGTTTTATCACACAAAAGTCATAAAAATAATGATTATATGAAACAAATTATATACGTATATATGTGAAATTTTATAACTCTATCATATCGACCAATTTTGTTCGTATATTACTTAAACCTCTCTCCTGAAAAGTTGTCATTTTGCAGATGTGACTTTATTACACTAAGGATACGATTGGCAATGATACTAAATAAACTCAAAATAAAGAACTACAGATACGTTTTATTGTAATAAAAAAGATGGGTAAAATTTAAGTAACTGAAGAAGCTTTATGGAATGGTAAACAACTTGAATAACTAGCGGTAGTTATGTCGCAATCTCACGCAAAAAGAACATCAGCCGTTCCATTTATTTTTATGCCTCGATCAAAATGTATAGAACTGCCGACATGTTTACCGCGCACTTAGAGCGACTCTTTACAAAAGTTGTTTATATTGTTGTGCATCCTTTAAATTTCTTAAGCAACTTAAATTTTCCCATCCAGTACCTGCGTACAGTTTTTGGACTGATGACGAAAACCACTTTAACCGTGCCAGAGGAAATCTTACCTTAAAGTAGTCAACTGCAGGTTTCACGTATTCTGAAACATCGGTGTCCATGTCTAAATAACGTTTAAGAGCGTGGTTGATCAAAGCGCTGATGGACTTTTCTGGTCTTTTCACGTTGAACTGCGTGCTTTTAGGCAGACCTTGAGCATCCAGATATCCGTTGATGAGGTATTGAGCTGAGGCCAAGTATCTGTACAACGTGTTATTAACTTGGTCATCATAATAATCTTTAAATGTTGGATTTGTAGAGCCTTGGAAGTCAAGATATTACAGTATTGACATTATTAGATTTTATTCCTATTCTTAACAATAATTTCCGTCTTTACTTCATAATAAGCAGAAAATAATTTATATAAAAATTCAGTAGTAAAATAAATTACTTGTCGGTCCATGGAATGTAAAAATATACAAATTTCCTTTGTTAAATCAAGAACAACTCACACTATCGAAATAAAGACGAGAAATTAGGATTTTGATGATCTTTTACAAAGCAGGCAACAACGATAAGTGTACTAACTTTTGATAAACTTCAGGTTTAGCCACATGGATGACCATATCCGTTAAATATTGCGCAGCGGCCTTGATCCAGTGCCTTCTGAACTGCTGGTTCTCAAAGCTTTTCATTACTAAATCGAAGCTGATTTTACCATCAGGTCCAGTGAATGCTTTGAACGCCCTCTTCAAACCTGATTTTTCCCACACAGTCCTACCCAGTTCCGAATTAATAAATAAGTCCCAGTACAGATGAGCCTTTTCCAGGAAAGGGGGTAAAAATGTTGCGTGTTCCTTGTGTTCCTCAGCTTTTTTCTGTGCTTCATTACCCGAAAATGCACTGATAACATTCATGACCAACGGAAGCACGGATTCAGAGTTTTTGTTTCCCAAAAATCCGGAAGCAAGACTTAACATGCTTTCCAAATTGATGTCGTTGTCTTCACTTTGGCTACGCTTCTTTCTTTCTACTTTTGGCTGTTGTGGAGTCATGGTTTGTGTGAACATTGAAATCATATTGCCAACCAGGGAAGGATCAATCTGTCCATTCTGTCCGCCAAGCAAGCTGCCGAGACCTGTAAAAGAGGATTAACGTTTAGGACCGCAATAAAGACGAAATGTATTTCGTGGGGATGTTGTAGGATGACACAGGGATTTTATTACTTAAGTGTTTCTGCAGTTCTCAAGTAAAGACTTTGTTCTTTAGATGTTTTAACAACATTGTTCAGAAAGTATAAAGTCAATTAACGTACACAATCCATCTATTTGAAAGTTGCTATATACAAATTGATACATAATTGTAATAATTTTGTTTGTTTGAGTATTTTTCATGACTATCTGCTTACAAGATTGATTACGTAATTTTTTTAAACACAACCTAAATATAATTCCGTGCTTCCCTTAAAGATTCTAATACCAACAAACTAACAAGAAGTCTAACTGGTCACTAAGTTGGCATCAAAACAGTATCTGTTCTAATTATATCGGATCAGTTGTAAGTCGTTCAGAATGTATTGAGCTTCGTAATTCGGTAGGTATATAAAAGCGTCGCTGTAGCTATCAATGGGATTATAATAATTGATTTGCAACAGTCAATTTCTAAAGTATTAAAATATATGTAATTAAAGTTTTGATAATTTAATGTTAACCAATTTACTGTAAAAAATTTTTATGGTTTTCTTTAAAGCGTGAGAACAAAGATTGCATAATCATTTGTCACGCTAAAACGAATTTCTATACAATTATGACGATTAAATAGTATAAGTTCGATCCACGGACAAGTATATAATGTACAGTATATAGTTCGTAAATATCATGGTAATGTATATCTCAGAAACGAATTAAGTAAAAAATACAAGTTAGTAAAATATAAAGTGGCAAATTCAGTACATTACATTGTTACATTTAGTTATGTATTGTATTTATAACATCTGCAGGGTTTTTTGTAAAACACTAATAATTACTAACATCATAATACAACAACTTTTGTTCCATGACTTAATAATTCATCAGATTTTACTTTCGTATAAACATAAAAATATTTAAATAGATAGCTCTAAACGTGGTAACTTTATGCGGTAGCAAAAGAAAGCGCTAGTGGACATGCCAGTTCGATGCAAAACGCAGGAGTGGGGGTCGTCGCGGTGAAAAGTCAGATAGTACTTCAAAAATTTAAGTTTATTGTTGGTAAATTTATGATGTTTTGTAAAAAGTCATGGAACAATGGTTTTTGTTTATGATATTAGTAATAAAGTTCTGCGAGATTGTTAGTGTTTAGTAAATCATTTTGTGTTTTAAATGGTAATTTATTAAGCTTACTATAATTTATTCGCCTACAGAAAATAATGTTTCATGTATCTTTTCTGCAATACCAAACAATACAAAGTTTCCGATTGGCTCCTTCCTACGGATTTGTAAAATTAAAAAATTGAACGTACCAGCTAAAATATTTCCTGCGCCTTCGCCGCCGCCATCTTGTCCCAACATGGCGCCCAAATTTTTCGCGCCATCACCTTGCAAAAATGCGCTCATTAAATTCGACGCTAACTCTTTACCAGCATTGCCTTGTGTCATAGCTCCTACTAAGTTATTTAGTAAACCAGGTACACCGTTTCCCGCCGAATCGCCATATTGCTCCATATAAGAGGATACAAGGTCTTCAAAGCCATTTGTTTGTCCTCTCAAAATCGGTAGCGTTATTATTTGGCAGAATAAAAACAGGAGCGTTAGCTTTGCCATTCTGGGTCTGTAATATAAAGAAAAAGGAAAATTAGATATGCGCTCTTCCTAAAAGTTGTTGTATATTATCTATGCTGCTCAAAATGGCTTCCATAAAGATAACTTTAGGCTCAACTCACACTGGCGCAGAGTCGAAGCGTCGCGACGCGTCATGTTTCTGGCCTATAGCATATTCATCTATATTTTACAATTATTAAGGTACAAATTTGTATTTTGCAAATATGGAATCGAGCGGCGACTGTCGCCTGGCGGTGGAGTTGAAAAACAGGATGCGACGCGACGCTTCGACTCTGCGCCAGTGTGAGTTGAGTCTTAATAATGATTTTAAAGGTGCCGTGGTTTGAGAGGTGACATCCTGCCTTGCGTACAGTGCGAGTCAGCTCAAACAGAGTTCTCAAAATGACGCGGGATATGGGGGATAGGTTGGCCCGTGATCCGCTTGCTAGGTTTACCGAACTTCAACTCCTGGTCTCTTAGCAAGTATCATGTAGTACTTATCTGACCCTTCATTAATTTTGTTCTGTTTTACTTACTTAACTTTTATTTATAATTTTTGTACTAACAGTAGAATAAGATAAATTAATGTGTTTAGTGCACTACCAAAATTGTCTGCAATAAATGGTTTTTAATAATTTTCTTTTCATTTGTTTTATTTACGACGATTTCTATGGTAAAAATTGCTATGGTAAATTCTAAGATCTATCATCATCTGGCAGTATAGCCAATTAGACGATTTAGCCTGTCCCGAAGGACGAAAAACTTGACTACTATTGTGCTAAGGATAAATTATTCGTATGAATTGAATGCCATTTAATGTGATTAATAAGTACTTAGGTCAAGTTAATTCAAAAACTTAAGGGATGTAGTTGTAAATCATTATTAAGACTCAATATGGTGAATTTGCGAGTCTTCGAGAACTGGAGGACGAAGCATAAGTTAGCAAATGGAAAAAGATAGCATATTAATCGGAGCAGAGGTAATTGTAATCATACAATGTTCTTATCCTCAAAAGAGATCCACGCCAAACAGTTGGATGCGCCTATGTGTTGATGCAGTCATATTATTAAAATCTATTTTATTTCTGTAGTCTGTTTTGATTTAATTTTATAAAGATGACAAAACGCGTGTTTTTCAGCCCTATATGTTGGCATCGTACGTGTATTAAAACTAAACGGACTCACGACGGAGTCAGCCGTGACTATAGAATTTGTAAAATGTCCGAAACATTAATCTGTTTGAAAAAAAAAATAATAAACATACGTGATTTAGATCAGGAATAATCTCCGTACAGAGTACTAAAAAAACCATCCACAAAAGTTTGTGGAATTATATCCATTCGCCAAGTTTTATTGAAATCGGTTACAGGAAAGTGCGCGAAACCGGATTCATCCCTTAGTTTGCCACTCTTGGAGATGGAACAGTTTCTTCAAATTTAAATGGGACCAATACTGAGGTGCTCTCTTTTCGACAAAAAAGAATCCTCAAAATCGGTTGACAAATTCCGGAATAATCGCGTAACATAAAACGTAACGTAACATATATACAAAAAAAGTCGAAATGAGAATCTCCTTCTTTTTTGATGACGGTTAAAAAATAGTTGCCTATGTGTAACAATCGCGAAACCTAAGAACTCGATACTAAACAGACTTTAGAAAATCTAACCTTATATAAGTCAGTGTGTAGATATATTGGCAACTGCTAAATATGGTAGGTAGGGTAGTAGGTTTTTTTATGATTGCAACCGATGGGACGAACGTGTCGTGGGTCTGGTGGTAAGCGACGCGCCTGTCCATTGCGGTGCCACTCAGAGCTTAAAGTCACCATGAAACTTAAGTTGAAAAGTCCCATGTGTCTGTAATTTTACCAACATCCTTACTCTTCAAAACCAGAACGGATTAATGCTCACATTACTACTTGGCGGCAGAAATAGGTAAATTGGCAGTACTTCCCTGGACGAATTCTTTCACAAGGAGCTCTACTGCTACTACAACGGTATAAAGGTAAAGATGGTCGTACTTAGTTGCTAAAATCCTTAGTTCAGGTTACAGGTGTAGCGTAGCAATGCCTTTACACTTACATGCCACCAGAGAACCCAAGGACGCAAAACACTGGCACCTAATAATCCGCTAGAATCGGTAACCTTTTTTTTTTGAACGCGGAAAAAACGTTAAAATATTTTTATATTTTAGACATATTTTAGAACATTGTTTTTATGGCATGTAAATGTAAAGCATTTATAAATATAAAATTGCATTTCTGCGACTCGTTTCAGTTACAAAGTATTGTGTAAACATTTTTCTCACTTTTACGATTACTGCCATGCGTTTTATGTTTTTGTAATGTCCAATACTGAAAGAAAATACAAGGTGTTTTATACAATACAATAAAATTATCTACTCTTTATAGTACATAATACAGAGAGAAACACATGGCAAAAGTAGGAATAAAGGAGAAAAGGAGTACAACCAGACAGCTTTCCTGTTGGATAGCAAAAGATTTCTTGCAGAGCCATTCCAGGAATATTTATACTTATGGTATGGATGGATGGTGTTTTAGAATAGCTGCCTATCTTAAAAACACCAAATTCTCCAGGAAGATGACTTAAAAAAATGTGAAGCGTATCTGGCGCGCATACTCGTCGCTTATCTAATAATAAAAATAGATAGATAGATAATACACTTTATTGCTTACACACAAAAGACAAAAACCGTACCTGTATGAACAACTTAAAATTAATGTAGGCAAAGGCGGCCTTCAAATTTGAGGCAGAGGAGAACTAAACAGAGAGGGAGACGCATTTACTATCATCATAGAAATGGTAACAAAAACGAAGTAATGAATCACAGGAAAGAAAAGGAAAAAATCCTAAAAATAATTGAATATCATGGTAAGACATCGTAATACTCAATAAATTTTGTAATGAAACAAAGCCCGTCAAAAGGCTTTATGACTTGCCATCTGAGGGCTATGCGAATTATAATCCTCGCTTATTTGTTATTCTGCCATAACCCGTAAAGTTATGGAATACAACATAGAAAATTAAAACACAGACAGAAATAGCAATAGGTTGGCTAAAAAGTCCGTGCGGTTTTTGTCACTAGCTTTAAATGAAAAGAACTTTAAGCTTTGATACTAGCCGAAAATGAATAATGGCGATATTTGTGGTTACAGTTTTTAAACAAATAAATTTATAGTTTGTGGGACTTTTATATTTCTCAGTTTTAGAAAATATATGAATATCACGGTGGTAAAACATCGTGAAGTTCAATTTAAAAAATCAATAATTCCAACGATATATTTATGATATTCTACAGATTGTGTAGGATGGCGCTCACATTTGGTACATGCGCAACTAAATCTAAACCAATGTTGTGAATATTTTCACTCGCTTGTTGGTGTAATTTAGGGATTGGCTCATGCCTGGTTTTTGTATCAATAATTTTATTTTTATATTTCAAGTATTACAAAATTTTTCGATTAACCCCACGCACACGTAAATGTGATAGATAAAATTGAGATATGATACGAACAACCTGTAAATAAAATATATCTTCGCGACGTATGTCGTAGCTACCTACCGAATATTCAAGGACAAAAACGAAAAATATTTTTTACCTACCTTAACAATAACATTTCCACTACATTTCAGTTTTTTTATACAAAGAACACCTCCATAGCGCGGCTTCATTTAAAAATGTCTTAACTTTATGATTTCGATGTTTCTTGAACAATAAAACGCTTCCACCTTTTCTCAGAATAAAATTAAGTTCACCACTACTCATTTTATACTTTTTTAAATATTAATGGCTTTGGCTTTGCCTTCGCATTTAACCAATGAAAGGGTCGGGGAAGCAGAATTACAGATTATGGAAGAGGTACGGAATTTGGATGTAAAAGGATATGGTAAGGTTGGGTAGGTGGGTAGCTATTATATATCGGCATACATATTATAGCTTGATATTATTTTTTAAATAAATAAAGCCAGTACATTATAAACATCTTTGTTACATAAATACAATAAACTTGTTATGGAGGTGGGGAGTGCTGCAGCCAACAACTGCCATACATTAATAAATCAATAAATTTTGGTATCAAATTGCCAATGAATAGACAGTAAAACAGTTATATCTGTATAAATGTTAAGGAGTTTTACTAACAATGTAACTCGCAAGAAAAGAAAAATTCCTAGGTGAACATGGCGATACTATGTTGGCTTACAACAAACAACAAGCATTTTTTATGACCTAAACATACCTTTTTTATATACATATATTATAGGTCCTATCAAAATTAAACAAAACACTAAATGTTTTCTTTGCTGTTCAACACCTAATAATATATCGAGTTCTTAGGTTTTCGCGATTGTTACACATAGGAAATGAAACTATTTTTCCGGATTTCAGTCAGCCGTGACCATGGGACCTGTAAAGGGCCCGAAACTTCGGTTTGTTTGAAAAAACAAATATACGCGACTTAAATCCGGAAAAATAACCTAATAATATATTATTATATTAATATATTATTATGTATACATAAAAAAGTATATGATTTAGGTTAAAAAGTAAAAAATGCTATTTTTGTGGGTTACAACAACTTACGTTTGAGGTAGACATCGATAGGCAAGCTACGGGAAGAATTAAATGAACACGGTCCACCCAAGTTGACATAGTTAGGTGAACTAAGTTGTCCACCTATGCTGGGCTAGTGAGGTGGTCCATGGTCAAGAAGAGAACATAATTTTGGTGTTCCATTATGATTATTAATGAGCAATTAAGAATTGTGTTGTTAATTCATTCAAATACCTAAAGGACGAATAACTTTCAAAAAATTAGCGGTTGCACGAATTATTTAACAAAGCCTCTACCACGACTTTACGGAACAATGAGAAGTATTATTTTGTATATAACCATTTTACGAAATCACTAGGGGTCACTGTCTTTGTAAACGCATGGTAGGTACTTTCTATTCTAAATTTGAAATGTCTAATTAATGATTAACAGTTATGAA